AAACACTTATATAGGAATAATCATAGATTCAGGGAAATCTTTTTAACCAATACAGAAAGTTCAGCAGCTCACAGGGAAATTGTAGATTTATTTTCCTACATAAAGTAATCAAAATGTTTGTATGGCAAATTATATCATTAAAAAATAGGAACACAGTAAATTAGGAATAGACATTTAAAGCAAATAGTTAAAGAATTGATATCCAGTCTTCAACTATGTATTATAAATTCATAAGAAAAAAATAAGAATTTCATCAGAAATGAGAAGTCCAGTTGGTTAATAAGTATATGAAAACATTCTCAAATTCTTAGTCTGAGAAATGGAAATAAAAATAACTGTGGGCAACTATTTCTCACTAGAAAAGGTGATGAAGTGTGATTTTACTTGTTTTTGGAAAAGTTACAGCCTTTTGAAACATTCTGGCAATATATTTCAAAATCAATTGAAAACTTTACTCTTTGACCCAACAAACACACTCCTGAGAATCTACTTGATAGAGATAAAGGTTATATGTACAAAGTTGTTTATTACAGAATAGTTTGTAGTAGCAAAAACTAGAAAACAATAGAAAAATAGGAGAATTAACTATAACAAAATCAACAATGGGTAATTGACATAGTTACATGAACACTAGATTATTTGGAGGAATTTTCCTGTGATAAAAGCTAAATGCAGGGAAGTATATATGATATGATCCATTTTTGTAGGGAAAAAAAAGCCAGAATCTGTGTGTGTGTGTGTGTGTGTGTGTGTGTGTGTGTGTGTGTGTGTGTTTGGATATGTGCCTAAAGAGATAAATGAAAATGAACCTAAACACACATTCTTACTTTGGCTATTATCTAACTGCATTCCTCTGGGAAATTGAAATGCTCTTCTCCAGCTCCACTTACCGTTTCCCCTCAAAAACAAAGAAATAAACAATACAAACATAATTAAAATGCAGTCTCCCCTGGACACCCCATTGGCTTTTGAATTATTCCCATTATATCTATGTCCATCAAGATGCCTTAACACCATGACTATGCCCCTGTGTAAGGAAGGGAATCTTGCATTAGATTTAACAGCACAGTCAAAATTTATTTATTCACCCTTTTTTTCAACAGTGTTTTCAACAAAAAATATTTAGTGTGTCCACCGAATCATGCAATTTAGAGTTTAACATGATCAATGAGACATAGCCCCAGCCCTAATCTAGGAGTAGATGCCAGGCAAATGAGAAGATCATCATGTACCAGATGGAAGTCACCACAACAAGGGAATTGGAGTCCCAAGGGAGCCCAGAAGAGATTTAAAGCCAGTGAGATACAAACAAAGCTTATTTTTTCTTTTCTGTTCGTTCTTTGAATAGATCTTAGGAATTAAAGCCTTTGCAATAAATTCATTTTTAGTATATCAGTGTATTACTGAGTTGAATTTCAGGAAGTTTAATGTCACTTTAAATAACATGTATATTCAAGATTTTTATAGAACACATTTCTTTGTTCATTGAATACTCCATTTCTAGTTCCTGGAACATCTAGAATTTGGGCAACCTTAGGTTTATTTGTTAAGTATAGCTATGTATTTTCATGTGAGAAAAAAAGTATAAGGAATGAATTTTATTTCTCAAAATGAAAACTTGTGCGTGGGTCCATTATACTGTATGCATAGTATAATATGCAAATAATTTTCATTTCTTAAAATTGAATCTCATTTTTACACCTGTGTGTGTGTGTGTGTGTGTGTGTGTGTGTGTGTGTGTGTACACATGGATGGATGTATGGATGGATGGATGGATGGATGGATGGATGGATGGGGCAATATGACCTTATTTTATAAGTAACAATGAATTTCACTTTAAGAAACTTAACTCTTTCAACCAAACGGGGCTGGTTATTTTTGTCAGCAGCCATATGCAATTCCAAAGTTTATGAGGTTGGGTGTTTCAGCTTTATCATGTCCTATTTTTCCTAATTGGATAACTCCATTAAAATATGAACAAAAAATTATCTACGTATATTCAATATATTTTTAAATAACTTAAAATTTTCCAATAATTTAAGAGCTAATTTGACAAAGGCAGGGATATCTTTGTGTGTATGTGGGCATGACCTTTTAGTTGCATAGGGACCCACTTCCAGAAAGACCTTGTACTTGTTATAAAGCTCCGCTGCTGCTATCTTGATATTCTCAATAACTTTATCTGTGAATTTATGTTCTGTAAATGAAGTTCACTGGGACAGTGGAGCATGAACATGACCATGAGCATTGGAGCTTCAGGGGGCCACTCTGCATACACAGGTTCAGACCCGCAGGCAAAGCGGGCAACACAGAAGCCAAGCAATTGGCCTGACAGCAAGGTGCACATCTGCCTGCCTCCGCAGTCTGGGATGCTGTGTCCCCAGTGTGGCCAAGCCAGAACTGGGCCAGATTACCAGTGGCAACAGCAACCCCCAAAGCAACAGCAGCAAAAGCAGCAAGTGGAAGAGGTAGGAGCGGCTCCCCCACTGCCGGCAGGGACAGGAATCTTGGTGAGAGGACAGCTGCCTATCAGTCCCAGGATCCCATCCCTGCAGTATCTGCACGAACATTAAATCTGCCTAAATCCCAAAAGAATGCTTGCATAACTCAGATGGTAAACTTTGTCAGCAAATTATTACAAAGTTAAGGTGTATACATGGATGTTGCAATAAAGCACATCAGGGAGTTATTAGAATTTTTCACAGTTTACAATGTCCAGTTTTGAAAACTCCTGCAACATTGCAAATATCCACCAGCCTAGAAATACAGATTAAATTTAAAGATCATCATATTTGATGGAAAATAACACTATTTTCATATGAAACTCTAAATGAACCGATGAATAGCAAAAAAAGGAATTTTTTGTATAATTTTACTTTATAATTGAAAATAAAGGAATAAAATACATAAACAGGTATTTTGGATTATATACGAATTATGAAACTACTTTTGGTTTCTTGCACAACCTCAGCGAGTTATAGGAAATGTCAGAGGTAATATTAAAATGTCAGTGCATACATTTACATTAAATTCAACATATAGACAGTGCAAAGGATCTTTGTTGTGATGGAATTGTTCTGTATCTTGACTGTGGTGAGGAATACGCAAACTTATACATACGTTAAAATTGTATAAAACTTAAGTACACACACTAACAAGCACCTTAAATCAGTGAAATATGAGTGAGATCAATGGATGGTACTCATGTCAATTTCCTGGTTGTAACATTGTACATACTTTGCAGGATGTTACTATTTTGGATGAAAGGTGCATGGGTTCTCTATTATTTCTTAAAATTTGCATGTTAATCTATACTTATCTTAAAGTAGAAAGTTTAATTAAAAATCACATACATGAAACTAGTTTGTATAGAGTTTAATCTTCATTGAAAAATGTTCCATTAGAATCATCAGCTCCAGATGTACTAAAAATTTTTTTTTTAATTTTTTTTTTCAACGTTTATTTATTTTTGGGACAGAGAGAGACAGAGCATGAACGGGGGAGGGGCAGAGAGAGGGAGACACAGAATCGGAAACAGGCTCCAGGCTCCGAGCCACCAGCCCAGAGCCCGACGCGGGGCTCGAACTCACGGACCGCGAGGTCGTGACCTGGCTGAAGTCGGACGCTTAACCGACTGCGCCACCCAGGCGACCCCTAAAATTTATGTTAAATCAGAAATTTATGCCAATGTTATCATAATCTATAGAATATTCTAAGTAGTTCCAGTAATAGGTGCATCAACAGAAAGATCTTTCTTAAAATTTCTCAGAAACTATCAGAAATTATTTGTGATCTTACCTTAGCCAAAACAAGTGATGTCACTTACAATTTTATAGTTGAAAATGAAATTGCTAATTGTAAAAATGTTGATGACCTAAGAAATGGATTTGCAGAAAATTAAACCAGAAAAATTATATGATCAATATATCACAATAATACAGTATTTCTATTTATCATATTATATATAACTATGACACAAAAATATTATTTTTTGAAGTGTATAAATTTATGTTGTTATTCATCTATCACTATTACTATCATAAGTAATAAAATATTTTAAAGGCAAATTTAGTATCTATTATTATCTTTAACGGCACTTTTTTCTTACATTTTGAACTAATGGATCCCAAATTTTCATTTTGCACTGGACCTCATAAATTGTCTTGGGCCAGGAACTTGATACAAATTGATCCAAATAGTCCTTTAAATTTTATCAAAGGGTAGATAAGATATATTGAATAGCTTATTTTTGTAGAATAGAGTTTGGAGTAAATTTTTGAAAGCTTTCAGAAATTGCATCCAGCAACTAATCTCAGAAGTCAGCTCTTTTTTTTTCCAGAGGGTTTGCCAAGATATTATTTTGCTTATTTTATTTTATAAAAAGCCAACAAGATTCATCCATCATCAATCCTGACATTTGAATCCCAATCTACATTACCCTGAAAGAGGACTTCAAGGAAGTCTTTCCATTTATCAGACCTGCATTGCCAAAATGTTTGTGTATGTTTCATTTAAGAAGTATAGAATTAAGGACTATGCAAATATATCCATTTGGATTTTAAATCTAAACATCGTAGTTTTGATAAAAATTCCTATACATAGACCCATCAACTTCATACTTACCTGCAACATTTCTCATCTTGCAAATACGTTGCAAGAAAATGACCACATTTCCTTGAAACTTTGGAGTCAGTCTCTCAGCATTCATTCTCGGCATTTTTATATGACAGTCACACCATTGTCCCAAAAGGAATTTTAGTTTTAAAGACAACAAACCTAAAACTGACTGGAATGCATATATTATCAGTAGATTATTTCTGTTTCCTAGTGGTAGGCAAGTTTTGGAAACCGCAGGTCATTTGAGTAGCAATTAAATGTTCCATTACAAGGATGTTTCTCCATACTCGTTACTCTATAATGTTTTTGTGTACGGGTCATACTCACTTTTTATTCTGCCATCCTAATGACTCAGCCTGTTTTCTCTTTCCCTTCTCTTCCAGAATGATTCGTGGGGAAAGCAGTATTCATATGCACTCTTCAAAGCTATGAGTCACATGCTGTGCATTGGGTATGGAGCCCAGGCCCCAGTCAGCATGTCTGACCTCTGGATTACCATGCTGAGCATGATCGTTGGGGCCACCTGCTATGCCATGTTTGTCGGCCATGCCACGGCTTTAATCCAGTCTTTGGATTCTTCAAGGCGCCAATATCAAGAGAAGGTAATTTGTTTCATCACTACCATCTCCAACCAGCTAGTTTGTAAATTGAATTAATAGTGTTCACAGTAACTAAACCATTATTCTGTCAAAAACATAATGAAACAAAATGGATAAAACAGGAAAACACAGTCTGTTTTGATATTTTAAGGTTGCTCTAAGATGCTTGCTATATAGTTACTTGTTTTCAATTTATTTGTTGAATAACGTTTTTAAATCTGAATTTACATTCACAGAAAAAACAGTTACATGTTTCAGAATGCATTAAGCTGATTTAAAGTATTATCATCGATCATGTTCTATCATATTTCCACAGTAAAATAATATAACGCCTCCTCTAATGTATGTTAGAAAAACGTTAGCGATTAAATGAAAACAGGCAGCCATTGCACATGTCCCTCTGTTTCTCTGCATTACAATCATAATTTATATTATAATCCATATGCTTAGCTGAACATATGTTGCTCTTATATCTAGATAAGTCACCACACCCTCTAGTCTTAAAAATGCATATTAACAGCTGCTGTCGTGCATTCTTCTGCACAATGTGTTAATTAAAATGATTGCAGCTCTAAACTTTTCTCAAGAGAGAGAAAAGTAAATATATGCAATGATACATTCATTGGATTTTTTTTTCATATGCTGAATTACTTTCACTGGGGCTAAACTTTGGATAGTCAGACAGTAATTGTATACTCGACCAAACATCCTTAACTTTTTGACAGATAAAGAAGAGTATTTCCTAACTGAAGGAAGATTTTATAATGCAGAAGTTTAGTTAAACATGGCAAACTATATAGTATACACCTTGCCAAAGAGCATTTCTGGAAGCAATGGCTAAAATAGTTCTAGAATACTTCTAGTGAGTGATAACCAGCTTAGACTTATAATTACTTACAAAATAGCCAAAGATTGTTTCAGTTGTTGTTTTATTTACAGACATTTTCAACACTATAATCACACAATACGAGAAAAGGAGCCCAGATACTTTATTTCCCTTGAATGTAATGACACTGCCATCGACTACTGCAATGAGCAAGTTGGTATTTTGTTACTGAAATAATGAAGAGGTGAACCACCAAAATTGCTTCAAGGTTCATTTTAAAATAAAGCCTCCAATTAAACTGGAAAAAAAACAAAGCACATAGTAAGGGAGAGGAGACTTCATACAATGGTGACTTTGACTGAAAATTGTATACTCGAAGGGATTTGGGCTAACATAATGAGGCTTTAAGATAAGATTGCAGCAAGGTGTATGTTTCTATTATACTGTTTTTTTTCTCTTTCAGTTGATACTGCTTTAGAAAAAAAATGCTCTTTTCCCATCTCCTTCTGTCTGCATCATTGGTACCTATTTTTCTTAAAACCAAATCTTCAATTTCTGGTATTGCATTTATTACCATTGCACTGCATGTTAGGTGAATTCACTATTTTTATGTTTTTAGACCTGCTTTAAAGCCAGGCTTAGGGGCGCCTGGGTGGCTCAGTCAGTTAAGTTTCCAACTTCAGCTCAGGTCATGATCTTGTGGTTCGTGAGTTCGAGCCCTGCATCAGGCTATATGCTGACAGCATGGAGCCTGGAGCCTGCTTGGGATTCTGTGTCTCCCTCTGTCTCTACCCTTACCCCACTCATGGTCTGTCTGTCTCTCTCTCTGTCTCTCTCTCTGAAAAATAAACATTAAAAATTAAAAAAAATAAAAACAAAGCCAGGTTTAACTTGGAAACCCAATTAATTCAACGACGCAATCATAGACATTTATAAGCAAAAATGTTCTGATGCCTGCAATAATAAAAATCGTCAAGTTCTTGATATTACAAGGGCTTAATAGAAGGCAGGCATACTGAGGTAATCCTTTGTTACTTTTTTGACATATGGTACAATCTACACAGAAAGAGCTGATTACAAATATACATATATATATATTATTCTGAATGTTTCCTAAACTAGAGTTATACAATATATTATCTTTTAAATGTTTTCAAAGTTCATCAAAATTGTATCATATATCAGTGTTTAGTTACCTTTTTTTGGCTCATTTATATCCCATTGTATGGATATAATACATTTGTTTATCCATTTATCAGTCGATGGACATTTGAGTTGTTCCCTCCTCTGGCTATTGTGAATAGAGCTGCTGTTAAAATTTGAGTACAAGTGTAATATGAGTATCTGTTTTCATTGCTTTTAAGCATGTACCGACGAGTGGAATTGCTGGGTCATATAACAATTTTATGTTTATCTTTTTGACAAGCTGCTTTTTCTTGTAGTTAATATTTGTCTTTAAGTGTATTAGAACCATCTCCATGGATGACTGTAAAATTAATATTGATATTATTTTCACTGATGTTATTTTTCATCAAAAATAATTTTATATTTTTGAGGTAAAAGAAAGAGCTCCAATACATTTTATAGTAGTCATTCAGGTTGCACTGGTTCAACCCACCTAATCTGGCCCCAGAATTCATTCCTCGACATTGTTGTCTCTCCATCACTTGCCCTACAGTTTGGCTGCAGTGAAAGTATTGATCAAATCTAGTCTAGTGCACTACTGTATGCTCTAGTCTACTGCAAGTTATCCAGCCTACTGTGTGTGTCTGGAATCTCAGGGTCATTTAATTCTGTCTTCCTAGGGAACATCTGTTCGTTCTTGCTTTCCCAACCTGAAGTCGTTCTATCATCCTAAGCAGTAGCATTAGGTCCTCTGATTTTGAGATCCTTATCTACGCAATTTCCCAATGATAGTAATCTGAAAGGGCTAGAGTGTCATCATCATCATCACCGTCACCACCATCATCATCATCATTATTTTCACTCTTGACCAAAAAAAAATGTGATGTAGCATTGCAGATTAAACTCTGACTTGAATCACACTGTATGCTGCTGATTTCATGGGGTATCATGTTTTGTATTCTGATATTTCAGACAGCTACATTTTCCCCTTCTGCCAGATAAGGTGACTTTAAAGCATGAGACAGGTGGCATTTAAAATGTGCCTCTCCTGATGCTCTGCTCTGGATTACTAGCAGGCTTCATAGTTTCTGTAACTGGGATATTGAACAAGCTCAATTTCAGAAATAACCAAAAGCAATCATATTTTTTGTCTCCAACTGTTTATTTAGCAAAAGGGTCATATTATTCTGAACAAATAAAATCCCTCCAAGATCTTTTTGGGGCTAGAAGCCAGGAATTAGAACATACTCCATAGGCTCTCTTCTCTCTCCTGTTATAAGCCTATTAGGAGCTACTATTTGTCACTAGGGAGGAGACACAAGGAGGGATTAAAGGGAAGGGAAGAGGCCGTTTTTTGTTGTTGTCATTGTTGTTTTTAGTTTATTTATTTTGAGAGGAGAGAGAGAGAGAGAGAGAGAGAGAGATTGAGAATATGCATGCACGGGAGGGACACAGAGAGAGAGAGAATCCCAAAGCAGGCTCCACACCGTGAGTGTGGACCCTGATGCGGGGCTTGAACTCACAAACCATGAGATCATGACCTGAGCTGAAACCAAGAGTTAGACGCTTAACCGACTGAGCCACATAGGAGCCCCAGGAAGAAGCAGTTTTAATCCCTTGCTAGATGTGTTATGCTAGTGTTCTTTGATGGGTATGGCAGATGATTAAAGCTGACACTTCTTTATGAGATCCTTTGGGCTCTTCACGTAACACCCCCTGAGTCTCCCTCCTGCACTTCCTTAGTCCTGCGAAATCCGGAAGTTATCTCCAACCTCCTTCTGCTCTGGGCTCCTTGCTTTGCCAGGTGGTACTCTTGGACAGGACCCAAGATGTAAAGCTGGCTCCCTGTGTGGCTCAGATCTGGTCCACAGAGAAGCACTCCTGCATCCCTCTCTTCACCCATCCCTCAGTGTTCTGCCTCCTACCACCAAAGCAATGAGGATCCTGTGTCTAGCCTTCCCCAATTCTTTGGCAGGAGTCAGACCCTGTCCACAAGTTAATTCTGTGTTCTTATATGTGACTCCCAACAATATGATCTTATTTCAGAGATACCCAAGTGGTTTTCTTGAAGGTGTCTCCCCAGGGAAAGTGTTAGAAGGTAGCCCTCCCACCCTCTATCCCAAAGGGGGCTGAGAAAGGGACTCAGAACAATCACTCTCTCTGAAGAAACCTGCTCAGGAAAATTCTCATTCTACCTTCTTGACATCTGTGGAGCTCCGATGGAATTGAGACCTCCTGGAGGCTTTATCCTTGCATCACCATTTACTTTTATAAACCAGTATATGAGAGACCACTTTACACAGGCTGTTTGTAGTTAAGTTCTGGAGAAGTCAAAAGTTATGTGGGGCGCCTGGGTGGCGCAGTCGGTTAAGCGTCCGACTTCAGCCAGGTCACGATCTCGCGGTCCGTGAGTTCGAGCCCCGCGTTGGGCTCTGGGCTGATGGCTCAGAGCCTGGAGCCTGTTTCTGATTCTGTGTCTCCCTCTCTCTCTGCCCCTCCCCCGTTCATGCTCTGTTTCTCTCTGTCCCAAAAAAATAAATAAACGTTAAAAAAAAAAATTAAAAAAAAAAAAGTTATGTGCAGATTTTCAACTGTGCTGTGGGGTCACCACCCTTAACCCCCATGCTATTTCAAGGGTCACCTATACATATAAATGTTCCCTAGTCAACTGTTTGGAAATGTTGATTGAAAAATGCATCAGAGTATGGTTTCTTTGGATAAATGTGTGCACCTTGAACATTTAATTTATTGTCTCTGCCCTCCGTGCCAACCCCCTCATGTATTTTTAAGTGATTAAAACGTACTTTGGGGGCACATGAATGGCTCAGTCAGTTAAGCGTCCAGCTCTTTATTTTGGCTCAGGTCATAATCTCATGGGTTCATGAGTTCGAGCCCAAATTGGGCTCCATGCTGACAGCCCTCCCCTGCTCATGCCTGCTCTCTCTCTCTTTCAGAATAAATAAACTTAAATAAAATAAAATAAAATAATTGTATAAAACAATTAAATTAAAAATTAGATATTTGGAAAATACCTATCTAGAAAAACTCCCCA